CAGTACAACCAGAGATATGTCGGTATGCCATTGGAAGATGGGACTCCCAGGTCGGAAGATGGCCAAAATGCTACTGGGGAGGAGCAGAGGATAAGTTCAACTAGCCCCAGATGTGATGACGCAGCTAGCTCAAAGCCGAAAGGAAGGCTAGCGGCCGACGGTACTGGAGGTGAACGATGAATCCGATGCTCTAAAGATCAACACACCATAGGAACCTGGAATGTAAGATCTATGAGCCAGGGCAAATTGGATGTTGTTATTGGTGAGATGTCAAGACTAAAGATAGACATTCTGGGGGTCAGCGAACTGAAATGGACTGGAATGGGCCACTTCACATCAGATGACCAGCAGATCTACTACTGCGGACAAGAGGAACATCGAAGAAATGGAGTAGCCTTCATAATTAATAAGAAATTCGCTAAAGCGGTGCTTGGATACAACCCAAAAAATGACAGAATGATCTCAATTCGAGTGCAAGGAAAGCCTTTCAACATTACAGTGATCCAAATATACGCCCCAACCACAGCTGCTGAAGAAGTAGAAGTAGATCAGTTCTATGAGGATCTGCAGGACCTACTGGATAATACACCAAAAAGAGACATTATTTTCATTACAGGAGACTGGAATGCCAAGGTGGGAAGTCAAATGACAACTGGGATCACAGGCAAGCATGGTCTGGGAGAACAAAATGAAGCGGGACGCAGGCTGATAGAATTTTGCCAGGAAAACTCGCTGTGTATAACTAATACTCTCTTCCAACAACCTAAAAGACGGCTTTATACATGGACTTCACCAGATGGTCAACACCGAAATCAGATTGACTACATCCTTTGCAGCCAAAGGTGGCGGACATCCATCCAGTCGGTGAAAACAAGACCTGGGGCTGACTGTAGCTCAGATCACGAACTTCTTATTGCTCAATTTAGAATAAAACTAAAGAGATCAGGGAAAATACACAGACCAGTTAGATATGATCTCACTAACATTCCTAGCGAATATACAGTGGAAGTGAAGAACAGATTTGAAGGATTAGATTTAGTAAACAGAGTCCCAGAAGAACTATGGACAGAAGTCCGCGACATTGTTCAGGAGGCGGCAACAAAGTACGTCGCAAAGAAAAAGAAAACCAAGAAGGCAAAATGGTTGTCTGCTGAGACACTGGAAGTAGCCCAAGAAAGGAGGAAAGCAAAAGGAAACAGGGATAAGGGGAGATATGCCCAGTTAAATGCGCAATTCCAGAGGTTAGCCAGAAGAGATAAGGAACTATTTTTAAACAAACAATGCATAGAAGTGGAAGAAGACAACAGAATAGGAAGGACAAGAGACCTCTTCCAGAAAATTAGAAACATCGGAGGTAAATTTGAGACAGAAATGGATATGATAAAAGACAAAGATGGCAGGGACCTAACATAAGCCGAAGAGATCAAGAGAATATGGCAAGACTATACAGAAGATCTGTATAGGAAAGATAATAATATTGGGGATAGCTTTGATGGTGTGGTGAATGAATTAGAACCAGATATCCTGAGAAGTGAGGTTGAATGCGCCTTAAGAAGCATTGCTAACAACAAGGCAGCAGGAGACGACGGGATCCCAGCTGAACTGTTTAAAATCTTAAAAGATGATGCTGTCAAGGTGATGCATGCCATTTGCCAGCAAATATGGAAAACACAAGAATGGCCATCAGACTGGAAAAAATCAACTTATATCCCCATACCAAAAAAGGGAAATGCGAAAGACTGCTCAAACTTCCGTACAGTGGCCCTTATTTCTCATGCCAGTAAGGTAATGCTCAAGATCCTGCAAGGAAGACTCCAGCAATACATGGAGTGAGAGTTGCCAGATGTCAAGCTGGGTTTAGAAAAGGCAGAGGAACGAGAGACCAAATTGCCAATATCCGCTGGATAATGGAGAAAAGCAGGGAGTTTCAGAAAAACATCTATTTCTGTTTCATTGACTATTCTAAAGCCTTTGACTGTGTGGATCATAATAAATTGTGGCAAGTTCTTGGTGGTATGGGCATACCAATTCACCTTGTCTCTCTCCTGAGGAATCTGTATAATGACCAAGTCGCTACAGTAAGAACTGACGATTGAACAACAAACTGGTTCAAGATTGGGAAAGACGTACGGCAGGGTTGTATACTCTCACCTAACCTATTCAACTTGTATGCAGAACACATAATGCGATGTACAGGGCTTGATTAATGCAAGGCTGTGGGTAAAATTGCTGGAAGAAACATTAACAACCTTAGATGATGCAGATAATACCACTTTGATGGCCGAGAGTGAGAAGGAGCCGAGGAGCCTTCTAATCAAGGTGAAAGAAGAAAGTGCAAAAGCTGGGTTGCAGTTAAACATAAAAAAACAAGATTATGGCAACAAGAATGATTGACAACTGGGAAATAGAGGGAGAAAATGTGGAGGTAGTGACAGACTTTGTATTTCTAGGTGCAAAGATTACTGCAGACGCAGACTGCAGGAAATAAGACGCTTGCTTCTTGGGAGGAGAGCAATGTCCAGTCTCGATAAAATAGTAAAGAGTAGAGACATCAGACTGGCAACAAAGATCCGCCTAGTCAAAGCCATGGTATTCCCTGTAGTAACCTACGGATGTGAGAGCTGGACCTTAGGGAAGGCTGAGCAAAGGAAGATCGATGCTTTTGAGCTGTGGTGTTGGAGGAAAGTCCTGAGAGTGCCTTGGACTGCGAGAAGATCCAACCAGTCCATCCTCCAGGAAATAAAGCCCGACTGCTCATTGGAGGGAAGGATACTAGAGACAAAGTTGAAGTACTTTGGCCACATCATGAGGAGACAGCAAAGCCTAGAGAAGACAATTATGCTGGGGAAAGTGGAAGCTAAAAGGAAGAGGGGCCGACCAAGGGCAAGATGGATGGATGGCATCCTTGAAGTGACTGGACTGACCTTGAGGAGCTGGGGGTGGTGACGGGTGACAGGGAGCTCTGGCGTGGGCTGGTCCATGAGGTCACGAAGAGTCGGAGATGACTGAACGAATAAACAAACTGTGAAGGAAGATTCATTTTCTTTCATGGTGGGGAGAAGACTATAATATTGTTTGTGCTTGCATTTAATAAAGGGATTACATCCCTGTTGTTTGCTTTCTCAGCCTAATACAATTGTGATAGAACAAGCAGAAGCTTGCGTCATTCTAACTGCTGCTTTTGCTGTCAAGGCTGGCAAAGCCATTTGGCATCACAGCAGAACGAGAAGCTTTCCCTGTTTTGCATACTTTTGTGCCATTACTTTACAAATATGGGCATTGGTACTTTAAATACACTATATGTTTATATATAAGTGTAGAAATCCTAGTAAAAAAAAATCCTAAAAACCAGGGTCCACTTGTCAATGGGTCCGTGTGAGTACTGTATCTTAACTCTTATAAAAAGAGAAAAGGAATCACCCCTTTCTCTGAGTAGAGTGCCAAAAAACAAGAATTATCTTAGTCCATCTTGGGAGAACCTAAAAGAAGCACTAACACCTTCTACTCTCTCCACTGTGCCACTGCTTCTGGCCTTTTTGAATCCTGCTGCCAGGGGCGACTGGCTCCTGGCTTGACGTTGGTGCTTTCCCCTCACTGCAGAATGATCACCAACTTGTCCAGAGATCAAAGCCTCTCATTTTGACCTCAACGTATACATGGTGTAGCCTTGTACGGAAATGAGAATATATAATGTCTCACTGATTACTCCTTATGGAAAAGGGAAGGATCAGTGTATTGCCAAAGGCTTTAATGGCCGGGATCACTGGGTTGTTGTAGGTTTTTCAGGCTATACGGCCATGTTGTAGAAGCATTCTCCTCTGATGTTTCACCTGCATCTATGGCAGGCATCTTCAGAGGCTGTGAGGTCTGGTGGAAACTAGGAAAATTGGGTTTATATATCTGTGGAAGGTCCAGGGTGGGAGAAAGAACTCTTGTCTGTTTGAGGTAAGTATGAATGTTTCAATTGGCCACCTTGATTAGCATTTGATGGCCTGACAGTTTTTAGGTGTGCCTTGTTAGTGCCTGGGGGAATCCTTTGTTGAGAGGTGATTAGCTGTCCCTGATTGTTTCTTGTCTAGAGTTCCCCTGGGTTTGAGTGTTGTTCTTTATTTACTGTTATAATTTTAGAGTTTTTTTTAATACTGATAGCTGGATTTTGTTCATTTTAATGGTTTCTTCCTTTCTGTTGAAATTGTCCACATTCTTGTGGATTTCAGTGGCTTCTCTGCGTAGCCTGACATGGTAGTTGTTCAAGTGGTCCAGCATTTCTGTGTTCTCAAATAATATGTCCAGTTTGGTTCATCAAGTGCTCTGCTATGGCTGACTTCAATGGTTGAATTAGTCTGCAGTGCCTTTCATGTTCCTTGATTTGTGTTTGGGAAATGATGCTTTTGGTGGTCCCTATGTAGACTTGTACACAGCTGCATGGTATACGGTAGACTCCTGCGGAGATGAGAGGATCCCTTTTGTCCTTTGCTAAACGTAGCATTTGTTGGATTTTCTTAGTGGGCCTGTAGATAGTTTGTAGGTTGTGTTTCCTCATCAGCTTCCCTATGCCGTCAGTGGTTCCCTTGATGTATGGCAAGAACACTTTTCCTCTGGGTGGACCTTCTTTACTCTCACAGGGTTTTCTTGGTATGTGCTGTCCAGAGAGGATTTGTTTTTGACTTGCTTGAGGTCATCCACTGGGTTCTCACGGCTGAGCAGAGATTTGAACCCTGGTCTCCAGAATCATGTAGTCATAGTCCAATGCTCAAACTGCTACACCATGCTGCCATGATTGGACCAGTGTCTAATAATGTATTTTAATTTTAGGTAGAAGTATCTACATTCAAAAGCAATATCTTAGATGGGTTGTTGTAGGTTTTTCCGGGCTATATGGCCATGTTCTGGAGGCAATTTTTCTTCTGACGTTTCGCCTGCATCTATGACAAGCATCCTCAGCGGTAGTGAGGTCATATCTTAGATGCTTTTTCATTTTTTTTCTTCCTTTCTTACAGCTGCTTTTTCTATCAGATCAGATGAGAAAGCCTCTGCATTTCTCTATTCACCCCCTAAGCTATCTCCAAGCAAGAATCGAATGATTTCTTCTGATCAGTCTTCCTATCCAGGTATGGTAACTTTTGTTCCCATCAATCTGAGCAAAACCAAGATGCTCTTCTTTGTGGTATGAATATGATGTTGGTTCCTTACTTCCATTTGATCTTTCTTCCCAACCTCTCTGCAAAGACATCATTAAATTGGTCTCAGGTTTGATTTCAGATATAAAACAAGAAAATCTTTACTTGAAATAGAGGGCAAGCTCATTCAAAGAGATGTGAAAAAATAATCACACATAATAATTCTGTTTCGTTATGCAACTTATTTACCTAGCCCAAGTATCCTCAAAATAAAGTATTTTTGGCCTTTTAGCTAAGATCTAGTGTAGGATTCACTACAATTCGTAGTTTCATAAATTCACAAGAGTATTTGAACCCATCCTCTGCAAATATGGGAGCTGTGTTACGTCTGAAATCCTGGCTGCCTTTGCATTCACCAAGAAAGGAAACTAAAGGAACAGAAGCACAGCCAGATTTTCATCACTTCTCTCTGCAGAGAAAGAGATGGACTTCTTAGTGGATTGAAACACCATCACTTCTCTCCATAGAGGAAAAGGGTGGACTCATTTGTCAGGGGGAAAGGTGTATAATTGATTCCAGCCACCTTTCCACCAGGTTTGGCATCCAGGGAGAGGGAGCATGTTGCAAGTGGCCTGATCTCCCACTTCCCTCGCTTTCACCTAAAAAGGACGAAACTGTATAACTGAAACTGTATAACACTCACATAATACATGACCTGCTCTAGTATATAGAATATTATAATATATATGTGTATATATATAGATCCACCATGTACGTAATATAATATATTACATATATTTCTTTCTCCCCCTCTCTCTATATATGTTATAATACAACATACTATGTACTATATATTATATAATAATTATATAAATGGAGCCCCCAGTGGTGCAGTGGGTTAAACCACTGATCTGAAAAACTTGTTGACCAAAAGGTCACAGGTTCGAATTCAGGGAGCATCATGAGCTTTCGCTATCAGCCCCAGCTTCTGTCAACCTAGCAGTTCAAAAACATGCAAATGTGAATAGATCAATAGGTACAGCTCCAACGGGAAGGTAATGATGCTCTATGGCAGGGGTCCACAAACTTTTTAAACAGAGGGCCAGGTCACAGTCCCTCAAACTGTTGGAGGGCCGGATTATAATTTGGAAAAAAAAATGAATGAATTCCTACGCACACTGCACATATCTTATTTGTAGTGCAAAAACCACTTAAAAACAATACAATAATTAAAATGAAGAACAATTTTAACAAATATAAACTTATTAGTATTTCAATAGGAAGTGTGGGCCTGCTTTTGGCTGATGAGATAGGATTCTTGTTGTTGTGTGCTTTCAAGTCATTTCAGACTGAGGTTGACCCTGAGTGAGGGCTGGGTAAATGACCTTGGAGGGCCGTATCCGGCCCCCGGACCTTAGTTTGAGGACCCCTGTTCTATGGAGTCATTCCACATGACCTTGGATGTGTCTATGGACAACGCCGGCTCTTTGGCTTAGAAATGGAGATGAGCGCCAACCCCAGACTCAGACATGACTGGATTTAACATCAGGAGAAAACCTTTACCTTTAATTATATAAATATATGGCATGATGTTAATCTTGAAAAAAATTCCATGTTGCTGCTTTCTCTATGTCCTGAGTGAGCTTTTCCCTCACACCCACAAATAATCAAATGAATTATGTGATGCCGATTCAGAAAAGCACTTCTTACCCACCCTTTTATTCCCCAGAAATTGTTTATTTGAATGGAACAAGCCTTCTATAGATTATCGATGTATATCCTTTTAATATAGAATTATTAACATAGCTTTGTTTTCATTTAAATCCTGGGTCCACATGGCACGCATTCTTTGTATATTATCTAATGAAAATTAATGGAAGGCAAAGAGTTTATTTAAAGCCTGATTTCATTAGGGCATGAAACATCTTAGCAAAATTACACATTTGTAGGTGGAACTATGATTGGTTGATTGACTGACTGATTGATTGATTTGCAAATAAAAATAAATTCCCCAATGCTCTCCCATTTTGCACTTTTGTAAAGTTGAATTACCTCTATATTACAATCTGATTATGACTGAAAAAATGCAGGAAAATGTTATACATAAGATCTTTTTTTTTAAAAAAATGATCTTTATTATGAATGTTTCTTTAAAAACAGATAAAAGATCTTTAACAACAGAGAGCTATCCAGTTATAAAAGTAATGGGAACCATATATGTTCTGATATGGGTGAGTAGTTTTCACCTGGTGTTAGCAACACAGAGATCTACAGAGAGATTTTTTTATGGATTCTCTGTAGATCTGCTTGGCAAGTCAAGGCAGATGAAAGAAATTGGCTCATATCATGTGCAATGTAGTAAAGCTCAGTCTTGATAGTATCTTTTGAATAGAAATTTTCAAATGCTGTCTCACTAAAAACAAACAATCCTCAAGCCGCTAGTTTCTTATATTGTAATCAAAACATCACATTCAGCCATTTGTAGACTTTGTTCTTAATGAAACTTTTCTATTGTTTTGCTTGGTTTGTTTTTTTCACACATGCACATCTGTAGGGAACATTGGAAATGTGGAACGCCTTTTTCAAGGCTTCTTATTTAAAATTCTATGTCTATTGCACTCTAAAACACTTCTAAGTGTTGTTGTTGTTCATTCGTTCAGTCGTCTCCGACTCTTCGTGACCTCATGGACCAGCCCACGCCAGAGCTCCCTGTCGGCCGTTACCACCCCCAGCTCCCTCAAGGTCAGTCCAGTCACTTCAAGGATGCCATCCATCCATCTTGCCCTTGGTCGGCCCCTCTTCCTTTTGCCTTCCACTTTCCCCAGCATAATTGTCTTCTCTAGGCTTTCCTGTCTGCTCATGATGTGGCCAAAGTACTTCAACTTTGTCTCTAGTATCTTTCCCTCCAGTGAGCAGTCGGGCTTTATTTCCTGGAGGATGGACTGGTTGGATCTTCTCGCAGTCCAAGGCACTCTCAGAACTTTCCTCCAACACCACAGCTCAAAAGCATCGATCTTCCTTCGCTCAGCCTTCCCTAAGGTCCAGCTCTCACATCCGTAGTTTACTTAAGGGAATACCATGGCTTTGACTAGGCGGATCTTTGTTGCCAGTCTGATGTCTCTACTCTTTACTATTTTATCGAGATTGGACATTGCTCTCCTCCCAAGAAGTAAGCGTCTTCTGATTTCCTGGCCACAGTCTGCATCTGCAGTAATCTTTGCACCTAGAAATACAAAGTCTGTCACGGCCTCCACGTTTTGTCCCTCTATTTTCCAGTTGTCAATCATTCTTGTTGCCATAATCTTGGTTTTTTTGACGTTTAGCTGCAACCCGGCTTTTGCGCTTTCTTCTTTCACCTTGATTAGAAGGCTCCTCAGCTCCTCCTCGCTTTCGGCCCTCAGAGTGGTGTCATCTGCATATCTGAGGTTGTTAATGTTTCTTCCAGCAATTTTCACCCCAGCCTTGCATTCATCAGCCCCGCACATCGCATGATGTGTTCTGCATACAAGTTAAAAAGGTTGGGTGAGAGGATGCAGCCTTGCCGTACGCCTTTCCCAATCTTGAACCAGTCTGTTGTGCCATGGTCAGTTCTGACTGTTGCTACTTGGTCCTTGTACAGATTCCTCAGGAGAGAGACAAGGTGGCTTGGGATGCCCATCCCACTAAGAACTTGCCACAATTTATTATGATGATCCACACAGTCAAAGGCTTTAGAATAGTCAATGAAGCAGAAGTAGATGTTTTTCTGAAACTCCCTGCCTTTCTCCATTATCCAGCGGATATTGGCAATCTGGTCTCTCGTTCCTCTGCCTTTTCTAAACCCAGCTTGAACATCTGGCAACTCTCGCTCCATGTATTGCTGGAGTCTTCCTTGCAGGATCTTGAGCATTACCTTACTAGCATGAGAAATAAGGACCACTGTACGGAAGTTTGAGCAGTCTTTCGCATTTCCCTTTTTTGGTATGGGGATATAAGTTGATTTTTTCCAGTCTGATGGCCATTCTTGTGTTTTCCATATTTGCTGGCAAATGGCATGCATCACCTTGACAGCATCATCTTTTAAGATTTTAATCAGTTCAGCTGGGATCCCGTCATCTCCTGCTGCCTTGTTGTTAGCAATGCTTCTTAAGGCCCATTCAACCTCACTCCTCAGGATGTCTGGTTCTAATTCATTCACCACACCGTCATAACTATCCTCAATATTATTATCCTTCCTATACAGATCTTCTGTATAGTCTCGCCACCTTCTCTTGATCTCTTCAGCTTCTGTTAGGTCCCTGCCATCTTTGTTTCTTATCATACCAATTTTTGCCTGAAATTTACCTCCAATGTTTCTAATTTTCTGGAAGAGGTCTCTTGTCCTTCCTATTCTGTTGTCGTCTTCCACTTCCATGCATTGATTATTTAAAAATAGTTCCTTATCTCTTCTGGCTAACCTCTGGAATTGCGCATTTAACTGGGCATATCTCCCCTTTTCACTGTTTCCTTTTGCTTTCCTCCTTTCTTTGGCTACTTCCAGTGTCTCAGCAGACAACCATTTTGCCTTCTTGGTTTTCTTTTTCTTTCTCCTGAACAATGTTGAGGACTTCTGTCCATAGTTCTTCTGGAACTCTATTTACTAAATCTAGTCCTTTAAATCTGTTCTTCACTTCCACTGTATATTCGCTAGGAATGTTAGTGAGATCATATCTAACTGGTCTGTGTATTTTCCCTGATCTCTTAAGTTTTATTCTAAATTGGGCAATAAGAAGTTCGTGATCTGAGCTACAGTCAGCCCCAGGTCTTGTTTTCACCGACTGGATGGATGTCCACCACCTTTGGCTGCAAAGAGTGTAGTCAATCTTCGGTGCTGACCATCTGGTGAAGTCCATGTATAAAGCTGTCTTTTAGGTTGTTGGAAGAGAGTGTTTGTTATACACAGCGAGTTTTCCTGGCAAAATTCTATCAGCCTGCGTCCGCTTCATTTTGTTCTCCCAGACCATGCTTGCCTGTGATCCCAGTTGTCATTTGACTTCCCACCTTGGCATTCCAGTCTCCTGTAATGAAAATAATGTCTCTTTTTTGTGTATTATCCAGTAGGTCCTGCAGATCCTCATAGAACTGATCTACTTCTGCTTCTTCAGCAGCTGTGGTTGGGGCGTATATTTGGATCACTGTAATGTTGAAAGGCTTTCCTTGCACTCGAATTGAGATCATTCTGTCATTTTTTGGGTTGTATCCAAGCACCGCTTTAGCAAATTTCTTATTAATTATGAAGGCTACTCCATTTCTTCGATGTTCCTCTTGTCCGCAGTAGTAGATCTGGTGGTTATCTGATGTGAAGTGGCCCATTCCAGTCCACTTCAGTTCGCTGACCCCCAGAATGTCTATCTTTAGTCTTGACATCTCGCCAATAACAACATCCAATTTGCCCTGGCTCATAGATCTTACATTCCAGGTTCCCATGGTGTGTTGATCTTTAGAGCATCGGATTCGTCGTTCACCTCCAGTACCGTCGGCCGCTAGCCTTCCTTTCGGCTTTGAGCTAGCTGCGTCTTCACATCTGGGGCTAGTTGAACTTATCCTCTGCTCCTCCCCAGTAGCATTTTGGCCATCTTCCGACCTGGGAGTCCCATCTTCCAATGGCATACCGACATATCTCTGGTTGTACTGGTCCATTTAGTTTTCTTGGCAAGGATACTGGAGTGGTTTGCCATTGCCTTCCCCAGGGATCACGCTTGGTCTGACCTCTCTGCCACAACCGTCCCGTCTTGGGTGTCCCTTCACGGTTTCACTCATGATATCATTGAGGTGCTCAAGCTCCAGCGCCCTGACAAGGCGGTGATCCTTTGCTGGAGCTTCTAAGTGTAGTTCAGCCAAAACAAGAAATGTGCAAGACAAAGGGAAGTACTTGCTATGTTAGCAGTAGACAATGCTAGGTTTGCACATGTTCTGTGTTAAAATAATATGGTGGCTGTGTTCCTTCTGTAGGCAGATGCACAGTCTCTAACTGTCCCAATTTGCCAGGAGCAGTCCAATTAATTTTCTAGCACATTTTAAAAGCACATTTCCAGTTCCTTTTGAAGTATCCCTCTTTGTCTTTCTTCCCCTCCCCTTTTGTTCCTTTGTCTTCAGTTTACTCCAGTTGCTTCAAACTTTCAACATTCAAAACTAGTTTGTACTCAATTGACTCAGCAGGGAGGAGAAAGACGAAGCAGAATAATTTCTCTCTCAACTGATTCAAGCAACTTACCTGTCTGAACATACCTCCCTTTATGAGCCATCTAGAGCCTTTTATTCGCACTACATATATGTGCAGTGTGCATAGGAATTCATTCACATTTTTTTCAAATTATAATCTGGCCCTCCAACAGTTTGAGGGACTATGACCTGGCCCTCTGTTTAAAAAGTTTGTGGACCCCTGATATAGGGGAATGACATGATCACACCCTGAAGGGCTGTCACAAGGGGGAGGGTGCAAGTTTATTTTTTTTACTGCCTCAAAAGGTATAGGTCTAATGGTTTTCGGTTTACAGGAGCATAGATGAACACCAGAAGGAACATTTTCACAGTGAAAATGGTTTAGCAATGGGTCCAATTTCCATTAGAAGTGGTGGGATGTCTTCAAAAAGAGGCTGTGGATGCTCTAGCTGGAGATCCTGCATTGAGCAAGGAGTTGGATCTAAGTTCCCATGTGGCCCCTTTCCGACTGTATAATTTCATGATTCATGCATTATCTGTTCATCTTCAGCCTTGTTGCAATTTCTTATCCAAATAAGCTATTCTTTTAAGGAGTGCAGGTGTTCCTGGCATGGAAAAAAGATTCCGAGTCACTCTCACAGTCAGTACCATGGATAGCCAACTTAATTGAAACATGAAAAACCAGTTCTGTTCCCAGTCCTCAGGGAAACCCTAGTGAAAGAAGGTACATTTAGGACTGAATACAGTTGTCCCCTTTCAATAGAAACCCTGTTATCCTCAAAATCCATTATCATTGTGTGATTCAAGTCATTTCCGATGTATGTAATCTGTTGGAGAGTTTTGTTGACAAAATTTCTTCAGAGGAGGTTTGACATTGCCTTCTTTTTTCAATTAAGAGAGTGGGACTATGGTCACTAAGTAGGTTTGAATGGGAATTCAACATTTGATCTCCAGCCACTTATATCCAACTTACACTACTTTGATTCCCAACAACAACATCAACAAAATTACTTTTTTCTTTCTTTCTAGAATAAATTTAAGACTCCAGAAAATTCTTTCAGAAAATGTATAAGATTTGTATGCAGCAAGCACAAGTGTTCAGTAATACTAAGCAGTTGTTCAGCAAAGGCATATCTCTGTGGATAACAGTCAGAAGACAATGAAGATCATGCCAATCCTTTCTTGCTTTGCAGGCCTTCTGTTTTGTGTTTGCATATTGCCAGACCCATACCTAGTACTTTATTCTTAATAACAGTAATAAAAAATCCTTTGTTCCTCTTAGGAAAAGAAAACTGAATCATAAACATAAATCATCATCAAATATAATAATAACCTGAATGATTGCCCAAATGGTTGAGCTGTGTTACTT